TGCATACCTGGGACAGGTGAGGCATGAAAAGGAATGTGGGTGTGGGTAACCCTTGAATCTCTAGAGTTATGGTCTGAGTCTCTTGTCAGTCCAGCTAAAGAGGGGTGACTCACACCCTGATTTCTTATCTGCCCAGAGGCTAGATTTCACCCTACGAACCATGTGGATCAGAATGTCTTTATTCTCTGTTTTAAGGACATAGTTTCTTGATGGTGCTTTGTTACCTGCTTTTAATAACTTGGATCCCTTCATTTTCTGTAACCAACACCATAGCCGGTGGTTCTTTCTGGTCCTATTTCCCAGGGTTTTGAGGGACCCGGGGTAGATAAAGTTTCCGATTTAGGTTTGTGGATGCCTCTGCAGGCAGGAAGCTACTTGGAAAACACTCTGTCTGCAAGCAAGACGTCCTTAAAGAGCCAGCCAAGTTCTGGGATATTCATTGCACGTTTTGAGAGACTGAGAAAGAATGATCATGATCTAGTTGGGTCTAGGCCCCTCTTAGCAACTAGAATCCCCTCAGAGTGCCCTTAGAGGACTTCTTCATAGTTCCCTGGAATTCTGGGCCTGCTTTAAGCCTGAAACAGCCTATCCAGTTGAAACCCTCTCACTAGGATCCTAGGACCCCTTCATAAGATAGAGAGTTGTTTTCCTCATTCTCACTCTCACCCAGCTCTGTACACAGGAAGTAAAACTAGGCTAGCTACTACCATGAAGCCATTGTTACTGCAACTGCAGACAATGAATACCATGTAAATCAGTTTTATAATTCAGATGAGAAATAAGGAAGACATTTTCTCTGGGCTGATATCACATGACTATTCCAAGATACTCCCTTTATTAAGTCATAAAAGTTAGATGTATCTGTTCACAATTGGGGTGGGAGAAGATTGTTTTGAAGCTCACAGTTTCTTAAATCAGGAAGGCAGAACTAAGGAGCTGTACCAAGAAGGGAATAGCAGAGGGGTCAGGGACCTCTTTCCCCACTCCTAAATCTAGAGCCTTTGGTATCTTGACTGCAAAGGCAATTTACATGTCATTTAAGAGAATGACATTTCAACATTCTTCTATCCTTCTATTAATACCTATCCAAACACTTCTGAAGACCCATCTCCTGTCTTCTCCACACTTTGTAACTAGTTCTCCCCACCATTTCTATTCCATAATTGCAACCTTAAACCCCGCAGAATATAGCAGAGTCCACAAAGATGCCTTGTACTGGGCTGAATAGTATCCCACAAAAAGTCATGTCTACCCATGTATTAATCTGTTTTCATGCTGCTGATAAAGACATACCCGAGACTGGGTAAAGAAAAAGAGGTTTAATGGACTCACAGTTCCACATGGCTGGAGAGGCCTTACAGTCATGGCGTAAGGTGAAAGGCACGTCTTACATGGTGGCAGGGAAGAGAGAGTGAGGGCCAAGCAAAAGGGGAAACCCCTTATAAAACCATCAGATCTCATGAGACTAATTCACTACCATGAGAACAGTATGGGGGAAACCGCTCCCGTGATTCAATTATCTTCCACCAAGTCCCTCCCACAGCACGTGGGAATTCTGGGAGCGACAATTCAAGATGAGATTTGGGTGGGGACACAGCTGAACCATATCAACCCAGAACCTCAGGTGACCTTATTTGGAGATAGGATTCTTGCAGATGTAATTAGTTAAGATGAGGCCACGGTGGATTAGGGTGCACCCTAAATCCAGTAACTAGTATCCTTATAAGAAGGCCTTGTGAAGACACAAAGATACATGGGGTAGAAGGCCATGTGTGGATGGAGACAGGGATCGGAGTCATGTTGCTACAGCCAAGAAACACCAAGGACTGCAGGCAACCAAGGGGCAATGCTGGCTAAGAAGCCAGGAAGGACTCTTCTCTAAAGGTGTCAGATGGAACATGGCCCCGCCCACACCTTAATTTTGGACATCTTAAAATCCAGGACCATAAGAGAACAAATTGGTTTTTTTTTTTTTTTTTTTTTTTGAGACGGAGTCTCGCTCTGTCGCCCAGGCTGGAGTGCGGTGGCCGGATCTCTGCTCACTGCAAGCTCCGCCTCCCGGGTTCACGCCATTCTCCTGCCTCAGCCTCCGGAGTAGCTGGGACTACAGGTGCTCGCCACCTCGCCCGGCTAGTTTTTTGTATTTTTTTACTAGAGACAGGGTTTCACCATGTTAGCCAGGATGGTCTCGATCTCCTGACCTCGTGATCCACCCGTCTCGGCCTCCCAAAGTGCTGGGATTACAGGCTTGAGCCACCGCGCCCGGCCTAAATTTGTTATTTTAAGTCACTCAGTTCCTGGTACTTTGTTTCAGTAGTCCTAAGACATTAAAACATACTTCCGTAAGGGTTTCAGCAGCACGACCTCACTATCTCAGCTTAGAGGACAGGAGAGCACAGGAATGGCTGACTAATAGAGCAAACCTACATGCCTTGTTTTTATTTACTGGTGGATCACATTGGTTTCTGTGCCTCCTGCCTTTTGCAATAGCATCTGTGCATTTTCTGCTTTGGACTCCATGCTCCGGACCTGTTAATATACCTGAAGACACACCTGTCCACATTTCTTTCACTAGTGTCCTTTCTTCCCATCCTAGCAAAGCATAATTACGCACATACATTAGAGATGGCAACTAAGCTTTAGTGCAGTGGTTTTTAACCTTTTTAGTCTCCCGAGAAATATGCATATTCCTCAGGGGTCCAGAAACCCCAGGCCAGAGACCACTGCCTATTTGGAAAGTTGAGACATCCTTGAGGATCATTGAAATCTCTCCTTCTTACCCCCTACTGGTACACCAGTTCCATTTCAGCTTGCTTCTGAAGTCCTCCACTGAGCTGAAACAGCATCCATGAGCTGATTCGGAGAAAGCTGCTATCCTAAGCCACCCTAGAGAGTGCCATCGGGAAAACAAGATGTTAATGGAGAATTAGTCCCAAGTGGGAGGCACAACTCATAACAAATAGGAACGGGTACGGCCCCGCTCAACCATTTGCTTCCCTATTCTGGTACCCCTTTCTCCTTTCCTTTCCCTTATGTCTCTACCTCCTCTAAATTATCCTTCACACAAAGGTACCATAATAAGCAGCAACGAAATTCAGAGCAAACAAAACAAGTAAGTCATGCACAGTATTTCAATTCATTGTGAATGCCTTGCCCACAGGCGCCCATTTTAGAATGCATCTGTGGTAGAAACTCCCCCCCACCGATATTTGCAAAGCTCTTCCTGCAGTGAAGGAAGTCCACTGAACAGTCCACCCCGGACGACCACAGAGAATTTTACTGCTTTGTACTCTTCACTCCTCACCAGATACTTTGACTTAGATGGATACGGGAAGTTTCTTTTCTGCCAAACTTCATCCCAATCTTAATCCATCAAAGTGTTTCTTTAGACCCTCTTTACCTTGGTTTTGCCACTTCAGACACTCTTCTAATAAAACTGTTATAGACAACAAAAAGTATTAGGCATCTTCTATGTGTAAACATCCTCAGAACACGAGACTGTTCGTGATTGGGAATTTCAAAGTTGCTTCTGAATTCCAGCAACCCTCCCCCAACATCCAGCCCCTAGAGTGCCAATGCCTACCTCCTCCCCTGGAGCTGAGGCCCCAGCTCCACATCTCCTGCATCGCCTAATAGATGGGGACAAAAAAGATGAGTGGCCAGTGGGCACCAATGACAAGTGGATGAAATTAGGTCTTCTAATTATACATTTCTGACGCATATTGATTTTATTCTTGTCACCTGGGGATAAGAGTCTACATAAGAGGCAGAGTGGCCAGGTGCAGCAGCGCACGCCTGTAATCCCAGCACTTTGGGAGGCCAAGGCGGGTCGATCACCTGAGGTTGGGAGTTCAAGACCATTCTGGCCAACATGGTGAAACCCTGTCTCTACTAAAAATACAAAAATTAGCTGGGCGTGGTGGTGCGTGCCTGTTATCCCAGCTACTCGGGAGGCTGAGGCAGGAGAATTGTTTGAACCAGGGAGCTGGAGGTTGCAGTGAGCTGAGATCACACCACTGCACTCTAGCCTGGCAACAGAGCGAGACTCTGTCTCAAAAAAAAGAGGCCAGGTGCAGTGGCTTATGCCTGTAATCCTGACACTTTGGAAGGCTGAGGTAGATGGATTTCTTGAGCTCAGGAGTTCAAGGCCAGTCTGGGTAACATGCCAAAACCCCATCTCTACAAAAACACAAAAATTAGCTGGGTGTGGTGGTGAGTGCCTATAATCCCAGCTACTTGGGAGGCTGAGGCAGGAGAATTGCTTGAACCAGGGAGTCGGAGGTTGCAGTGAGCCGAGATCATGCCACTGCACTCCAGCCTGGCAACACAGCAAGATTCCATCTCAAAAAAAAAAAAAAAGAAAAAGAAAGAGGCCGGGTGCAGCGGCTCACACCTGCAATCCCAACACTTTGGGAGGCCGAGGCAGGTGGATCTCTTGAGCTCAGGAGTTCAAGGCCAGTCTGGGTAACATGCCAAGATCCCATCTCCACAAAAAACATACAAATTAGCCAGGCGTGATGGCGTGTGCCTGTAGTCCCAGCTACTCAGGAGGCTGAGGTGGGAGATCACTTGAGCCCGGAAGGTCAAGGCTGCAGCGAGCTGAGGTCGTACCACTGCACTCCACCCTGGGTGACAGAGTAAGATAGTCTCAAAAAAAAAAAAAAAAAAAAAGAGTCTACGTAAGAAACCAGTCCTCCTAACCACCTGCTTAATTGAGGGAATGAAGGAAATAAATCTATTTAGGGATTTTAAAGACCTCTGCTGTCTTACTGATGGACTTTGCTCCATCTGCAAGAAAAACACAACCTCCTTTCAAGTAGGACTTCCCTTTCAAAGCCATCTATCATCTTGTTTCCTTGTTGATTTTTTAAGTAATAAATATTTATCTTAATTAAGACAACCAATGAATGTGCCACGTAATCAACACTGTCAGGTTCTTACCTATTAAAAAGATCTTACTTAAATCTACAAGGCCCTTTAACAACAAGGTCTCTAAGGAGTTTGAATCTTTAAAAAATAGTATTTAAATTTATTGTTTCACATTAGTTTGAATAAAGCACAAGCCAAGATGGTTTAAATATCATTTGCAGATGTCCAAGCTTCTTTACAATTACAGGTCGTGGACATCATCAACCTAGTCCTCAACCTGCAGCTAAAAAAGGCAACAGGTCTCTGTGAGTGACAGAAGAGCACATCCCACTCATGTCATGAGCAAAGAATCAAAGTTGAAGAAACAGTAATGGTCTCGACATCAGCACTGTAAGAATTATTCTGCAGTAAACTCCAACCCAGAATGGGGAAGAGTACTGAATTCACTGAGCACATTCTGGACACAATTCTGACAGATTTCAGTCTCACGATCTCTGTCAGAGCAGGTTTCATTCTCCAATTCTCTTTCACAGAACAGCAGAATGTGAGTCTTCATAAAAGTGATTAACGGCCTTTCCGCTTCTTCATTTTTCCTCCAGCCACCTTGTTCCTGACACCAATAGCACCCTCTGTATCATCATTATCTCCAGCATCCTCTCGTGAACGTTTCTTCTTTTCTCCATGCTCCCTTAACTCCTGCAAGAAAAAAAGAAGATGGGATTGAAAACGAATTACTGGCACTGAAGGTAACACATTCTAGTCCCCTCTCCTTAAGATCAAGTATCAAGTAACTTCCTGATGCCTGACATTAGCAAAGGAATGAGATCTAACTCCAAATATACAAAGATGTTAACCTTGTTAGTAATCAAAACATGAACATTAAAATAATAAGGTTTTATTTTCACATGGCAGATTGGCAAAGACTTAAGAGAAGGGTAATCCCCAGTATTGGCCAAGGTGTAGAAAAATTCACATATACTGTCACTTACAGTGCAATCTGCTATAGCTTTTTTGGGGGGAAGGGGCAATTTGGCATTCTGTATGAGTTCAAATTTTAACTGTGTACATCCCTTGGCCCAACAATTCTACTTCTAGGAATTTATTCTAAGGGAGGAAGTATGCAAAGCTATACAAAGTAGGGAGTTCAACACTGTACCAAAGTAGAAAAAAACTGGAAAAAAGCATAAGCATCCATGAATGTAAGTATTTCATACACATGATGGAATTCTTTGTAGCCATTAAGAAACGATCACATGAATCTGTATTTGTTGAAACAGAAAAATGTTAATCCTATATAATTATGGCTAAAGAAATAAAAACAGCCAAATGTTATCAATGGCTTTCTGCGGGGAAAGGTTTACCTTTTCACTTACTACTTTAATCCTTTCTGTATTTTTTGAATTTTTTTCCCAATGCACATGTAATACTTTCACAAACAAAAAAATCCCATGTGGGCAGAATAAAAACCAAATCTGTACCTCAGCTACTCCAACAACAACCTACGGGCAAAGTTTCTCCATCCCTCACTCCAGAACTCCAGAAAGCAGGCAGCACTTCCAAGGGTTTTCCTCTAGAATCTTCTCATGACAACTATTACTGTTACTACTACTACAGGGTGAGTATCCCTTATCTGAAATGCTTGGGACCAGCAGTGTTTCGGATTTCAGATTTTTTCTAATTCTAGAATATTTGCAGATACATAATGAGCTATTGGGGATGGGATTCAATTCTAAACACAAAATTCACTTGTTTCATATATACCTTATACACATTGTCTGAAGGTAATTTTACACAGTATTTTTAGTATTTTTGTGCATTAAAAACATTTTGACTGTGTCTTGTAGCAACCTGTCACCTGAGGTCAGGCATGGAATTTTCCACTTGTGGCAATCCTTTTGGCACTCAAAGTTTTGGATCGCCAGGCGTGGTGGCTCAAGCCTGTAATCTCAGCACTCTGGGAGGCTGAGGCTGATGGATCACCTGAGGTCAGAAGTTTGAGACCAGCCTGACCAAAATGGAGAAACCCCATCTCTACTAAAAATACAAAATCAGCTGGGCATGGTGGTGCATGCCTGTAATCCCAGCTACTTGGGAGGCTGAGGCAGGAGAATTGCTTGAACCCGGGAGGCAGAGGTTGCGGTGAGCCAAGATTACACCACTGCCCTCCAGCCTGGGCAACAAAAGTGAAACTCCATCTCAAAAAAAAAAAAAAAGTTTGGATCTTGGTTTTGGATTTCAAATGTTTGGATCAGGTATGATCAACCCCTACTAGTAACTATGTAGTTTATATTGGCTTCTCTGGTACTTGTAAAACCCCATAAGGTATTCAAGCAAGTGTTATTCCCAATTTACAGGTGAGAAACTGATTCTGATTCTGAGAAATCAGGCACATTTCCCAAGCTCACACAGTTCACAGCTGGATCTTCTGACCTCAGGTCTGATGAATTATCTCACCACATGTGACACGTGAACAGTTGCTATGAATGTGTAAATGTCAGAATGAGGCCAAATCCTGAATCCACCATTTGGTTGGATGGTCTAATGCAAATTACCTACCATCTCTGCACCTTAGTTTGTTCATCTGAAATTTGGAATAAAATAATACCCAGCTTCTGCAGTCTAGTATGAGGGTTAATATAATAAAGTGGCACACAGTTAACATTGTTTGCACAGACACTGGTGAGAAAAGAAAGATGCATACCATTCGGGCAAATCTTTGGGCTTCAGCCACGCGTTCTGTCAGCATCATAACCTCATCATCCTGTGTTGGAAAGACTGGTAGTTTCTTCCCAATTAAGTGTTCTATGCGCTGGAAGAGTTCCACATCATACCTGAGGAAGGAAAACTGTACAGCTTTGGTTGCCTGGTAATGCAAATGCCTGTCCATTCCCAAACTATTATTATATGACACAACGCAATGGGAGCCATAGGTTTAAACAATATTGAACATATTATTTCTTTTCTAAATATGGGTTAAGTGCAATCTCTGTGCATAGCCCATTAGAAAATCACTCCAGGGAGGCCAGGCGTGGTGGCTTGCAACTATAATCCCAACGCTTTGGGAGGTCAAAGCAGGAGAATCACTTGAAACCAGGAGTTTCAGATCAGCCTGGACAACATAGTGAGATGCCATCTTTATAAAACATTAAAAATTAGCCAACCATGGTGGCCTGTGCCTGTAGTCCCAGCCATTCGACGTTGAGGCATGAGGACTACTTGAGCCCAGGAGTTTGAAGCTGCAGTGAGCTATGATCGAGTCACTGCACTCCAGCCTGGGCAACAGAGTGAAACCTTGCTGCTTAAAAGAAAGAAAAAATGGCCAGGCAGGTGGCTTGTGCCTATAATCCCAGCACTGTGGGAGGCTGAGGCAGGTGGCTTGCACCTGTAATCCCAGCATTATGGGAGGCTGAGGCAGATGGATCGCTTGAGCTCAGGAGTTCAAGACCAGCCCGGCCAACATGACAAAACCCTGTCTCTGCTAAAAATATTTTTTAAAAAGCCAGGTGTGCTGGCATGCACCTGTGGTCCCAGCTACTTGGGAGGCTAAGGTGAGGTAGGAGGATTGCTTGACCCCAAGGGGTGGAAGGTGCACTCAGCCCAGGTCACACCACTGCACTCCAGCCTAGGCAACAGAGCGAGACAAATTAAAAAAAAAAAAAAAAAAAAAAAAAGGAGGGAAGGAGGGAGAAAATCCCTCAAGGTATTTATTCACAGGACAGCCTTGGGCACAAAAAAATTTGTCCCTCAAAAAAAAAAAAAAAAAAATGGAAATAGTTATTCTAATGCTTTCTGAGTTGACACAAAGGCAATTGCTCTCCAGCTCTAGGTACTACTCTACCATTCTATATGCCAAATACTATACTAGATCTTTTACATATATCATCTCTAATTTTCACCAAAACCCTGCTAGATAGGTATTACTATTCCCATCTTTCAACGCCTTCATCCTGGTTTTCAGTATGAAAGTTAGTAGTGTAGTAAATGATAGCGCCAGGTTCCCAGCCAGTGGCTCGAAAGTTCTGCTCTTTTCTCTATATTGCTCTGCCCCTAAAGCTGATTTACTTACTGCGTGACAAAAGTAATAGCCTTTCCGGAGCGCCCAGCTCTAGCTGTTCGACCTACTCGATGGATGTAATCCTAAAACCAAAAGGGTAAATAAATTCAAGTTATATGGATTATAAGTAAAAAAACAAACAAACAAACAAACAAAACCTATGTATGCAAAGTCTTGCCATAAAACTTTGAAAGAAAATAGATTCATGTCATAACATGGAGAAAATAAATGGCCTGGGCAATCTGTTGAGACAAATCTACTTCATCTTTTTTATTCTCCTTGCAGCACAAAATGGATCCAATGCTTTCCCCTCTTTCATAGAAAGATAAATCTACAAAGCATATCTACATGGTCGCAAGCTGCATGGTGTTTTAAAAAACAGCACTGGATCTCGAGGCAGAGCTGGGTTACAGCTGTGGTCCTTCCCACCTGCCATTTACACAATTACCTGCAAATTACATAACCTCCCTGAACCTTGGTTTCTATTTATTGAACAGGAATAGAAATACATGCCCAAATTATAGAGTTGTTATGAAAATCAAATGAGATAGCACCTCGTCTACAGCAGTTAAATACAAAGACAAGAGACACACCAGTCTCATCCAGGGGTGCTTCTGTCATCCTCAAGGGACACTGGTAATGTCTGGGAATACTTCTTTTTTTTTTTTTTTTTTTTGAGACGGAGTCTCGCTCTGACGCCCAGGTTGGAGCGCAGTGGCCGGATCTCAGCTCACTGCAAGCTCTGCCTCCCGGGTTCACGCCATTCTCCCGCCTCAGCATCCCGAGTAGCTGGGACTACAGGCGCCCGCCACCTCGCCCGGCTAGTTTTTTGGTTTTTTTTAGTAGAGACGGGGTTTCACCGTGTTAGCCAGGATGGTCTCGGCCTCCCAAAGTGCTGGGATTACAGGCTTGAGCCACCGCACCCGGCCTTGAAATACTTCTGATTATCACAAGTGGAAGTGTGTGTGATGCTGTCATCTAGTCGGTAAAGGCCAGGAATGCTACTAGGAATCCTTCAACTCAAAGAACAACCCTTCAACAAAGAATTCGACAGCTTAAAATGTTAATAGTGCCAAAGCTGAGAAACCTTGAGATACACTGAGAACTACAAGCTGTCATTCTCAAGAAATGACAGTGACATGATCAGTATGTGGTGCACCTGCCTCTACTATGAGCATCTAATAACTCTCCTTGGCTACCTCTTTCATATGTACTAATGTTACATACACAGGCCTGTGCAAGATGACGAGAATGAACTAATCAAGGGCTTTCTTGTTTTTTGATACTTAATTAACCAGGAACAAAAAAACTGCTGTAACTAAGGAAAGACAGAAGACACTCCATTAAGAAACACACTTTAGGACTAGAAAGGCAAGTTAGCAACAGGACTCACCTTGGAATGGGTAGGAATGTCAAAGTTGACAACTACATCTACATGAGGTATGTCCAAACCCCGGCTGGCAACGTCAGTTGCTAGAAGAATGGAACGGGCCTTGGCCTTAAACTTATTAAGGGATCCTAGGCGCTTACTCTGAGGTAATGAGAAAGAAATGTTGGAAAACTTAACATACATTTTGGAATACAAAACAAAACAGACAAACACGAGAACAAAGAGACATACATTTTTTTAAAGTTTTTTCCCCCCAACTTTTGAATGGGGCTTCACAGGTCAAAACAGAAATATGGAAGCAACAACAACAACAAAAAAGATACAAAATAAGGGTAGCCTGACACGATAGAAAGGTAACTATGAAATAATTTATTAATGTTTTTAGAGACCAGAGTCATTATTACCATTAGGGCTGAATACATCAACTCAACAGCTTGCAAACCAGACAGCTACATATGAAATATTCTAATGGGAGCCTCTTGCTACCCTGAAAGGAGAAAGTAAGCATCTAGAGCAACACTTCAAAGCCCATAAAATGAGAACAATTATGGAAACAGGCATCGGTGCCCTATGTCCTTATTGTACAAATCTATTGTGAGGAGGTTTATCTCGCTCATGCCATCAGTGCATGGCTGATGATGACGATGAATCCTTACCTGACTCATTTGTCCATGGAGGGGGATGGCAGTGAATCCAAGATTTCGCAGTAGCAAAGCTGTTCTCTGGGTATTATTACAGGTGCTGCAGAATATCATAAAGGAGTTTCCCGCCAATTCATTTAGAATATAAACCAGGTAGGTATCCTAAGTTACAAACCCAAAACAATATATGTCATCGAACCTGGGAGAAAGGATTGGAGACCTGGCATATACATAAGGTAAAGACTAACCCTATAGTTGCTTCTCAATTATCCAGACCTCCAGCTGCCACCTTAGGATTCCTTAACCAGCATTATCATCTCTGTGAACCACTATTCCCCACAGAGCCTAAAGGCAGGCAGGAGATCTGTCCTCAGAAAACAGGAGAAGTCCTTATATCAAAGCACAAAACCAGAGGCTTCATCCTAAATAAAAGCCACATTATAAGCGAACAAAGGAAAAATTACCTCAAGAATGGGGATGGGAAGGAATTATATGATTACATCATGACCTCATTATTGTGGTTTAATGTGTTGTGAATTCCTGGCATGTCTAGTTTATCGGTGATCATACAAGCACAACACGCCCTCTAAAGCAGACAGACAGGATGCCAACCTGCATTACAGCTCTTGGCTAATCAAGGGTTGACACATTTTCAGATGCTTTGGTGAAAAGAAGAGGGAGAGGCAGGAATGATCAAAGTAAACACTTTACCTTGAATTTAGAGGGAATAAAAATATAATATTGCTGTAACTTTTCAACTGTCTGGTATTTAGAGGAAACGGCACATTTCACAGGATTTTTCAGAGCTGCTCGCTGAAGCTTTTGCACCTGGAGGAAGAAGATCCAGAATAGCACACTGATGCCTAAACACACTTTATTTATGATATGGTTTGACTCTGTGTCCCCACCCAAATCTCATGTTGAACTGTAATCCCCAAATGTCACGGGAGGGACCTGGTAGGAGGTGACTGGATCAGAGAGGTGGTTTTCCCCCATGCTGTTCTCATGATAGTGAGTTCTCACAATTTCTGACAGTTTTAAAGTGTGGCACTGCCCCTACCTCCTGCCACCATGTAAGATGTGCCTTGCTTCCCCTTCGCCTTCTGCCGTAATTGTAAGTTTTCTGAGGTCTCCCCAGCCATGTGGAACTGTGAGTCAATTACACCTCTCTTTTCTGTATAAATTACCTAGTCTCAGATAGTTCTTTATAGCAGTGTGAAAATGGACTAAAGCAATTTATTTTTACTTATTGTTATTATTATTCTTATCATTTACTTTATGTATCAATTCTCATAAAGAAGAAACAAAAGTCCTAGCAAATTTCACCTTCTTGGTCATGGTGGCAGAGAAGAGGAATGTTTTCCGATCTCGAGGGATCACTTTGAGGATCTTGTCAACCTAAGGCACAAAGAGGAAAAGATGCCAATATGATATTCAGACTGGAAGAGCTGCAAATCCTCTAGGTAATGAAGGAGGTAGACGTTAACAAATTAAATATATCACTGTGAGGATTTGGTACTCGAAAATTCAATTCGATTCAGCTAAAGTTTACTGAATATTTACTGCCTGATACCCCACCAGACACTATTAAAAAAAATACCTTTCTAAGAAAAGAACAGTTTAAATTAGTAGACCAGAGTTGATCTAAGAGAAAAGTCAAGAATAAGTATTAATCAACTAAGTAAGCTGGGATTAGTGTGTCATCAAAGAAAATAAAGATATTTCAGGGTGTATGTCAAGGTCTAAATTAAATGAAATGGAAAAGAAAATCCAGTTTTGATATTTCCCATTTCTGGAGTCAGAGTCAGACTACATTCTAAAGATAAAAGGGTGCTGAGAAACTGCAATTTGAAGAATATCAAGAAAGAAACTGATACTGATGCAACGTTCTACATAAAACAAGTGGGCATGAACCAAATTTTGAAACAGGAACCTTGAGATGCTCTAACAGGAGGGAAGAAATTGAGAGCTCACCTCTGTCTCAAAATCCATATTCAGTATTCGGTCGGCTTCATCCATGACCAAGTATTTGAGAGCTCTCAAGTTGAAACCTTTCGTATTTTCCAAGTGGTCAATCAGTCGACCAGGAGTTGCTACCAAGAAAGGTTGAGGAGAAACAGTGATGTTTCAGAACAGGAAGAAAAAAAACAACAACAAACAAATAAAGTTACCTGCCCCACCCCACAGCTCTCCACCAAATTTAACTTAAGAAATTAAAAAATTTAACAGGGTTACAAAATCTGTTTCTCAAAGTCTTTCTATCCAATATTGGTAGATTTTCTCCAATTCATCACTGCCAGTGTCTTTTACCTTCGTCAGTTACTCACCTATTATTATATGTGGTTTTTTTGCAAGGGCCAAAGATTGAGACATTGAATCAATTCCACCCACAATCACAGCTACAGAGAGAAAAAGAACATAGAGACGAGATCCTTAGTTTTTTTCCATGGTCCACTGAACATCTTTTAAAGCCAATGCCAGATTTCTACTTAAACTTGTTCTTCCCTTACAATTAATACTCTTCCCAAAGCTAAAATACAGCATTAGCTCTTTAGGTCAATGAATTATGCTAGCAATACCTTCCTCCATTCTCCTTTCACACTCATTCTTCACTTGTGATGGCAACCTAGGATCCCTTCCCTCTCAGACACTTACCACTCTGCACTCCAATAGAGGACCCCAGGGCTTCAAACTGCTCTGAGATCTGAAAGGCCAGCTCCCGAGTCGGGGTAAGAACTAGGGCAAACAAACGCTGTGGGGTCTCCAGCAGTGCATTCAGAATGGGCAAAGCAAAGGCGCCTGTTTTTCCAGAGCCAGTTTCTGCCAGCCCGATGATATCACGACCTAGAAGAAAAAGAAATTCAACAGCCAAGTTAATTCTCTCTGCAGTATTTCTGTGTCTTCAACAATGACACAATACTGGGCACAAAGTAGACGCTTAATAAATATCTGATGAACTGGAGAGAGAGGAAAGTTGAACAAACAGAAAAGACATGGTCTCTCTCTTAGATAAGCTCAAAACCCAGTGGTGAGACAGTCTAATACACAAGTTCATTATAATGTGATAAGAGTTTTAATATAAGCCCCTGCAAAATACAGTGAGAACACAAGGAAAAGTAATTACTGCCCAGAAGAGTCAAAAAAGGCTAACAGAGGTGATTAAGTGAGTTAAACCTGGAAGTAAGCAAAGAAGGGAAGAAAGGATATTCCTGTAAGAGGAAAGATAATTATAATTAAGGCTTTAAAGAACACAGCATGCTGGCCAGGCATGGTGGCTCACACCTGTAATCCCAACACTTTGGGAGGCCGAGGCGGGCAGATCACCTGAGGTTGGGAGTTCGAGACCAGACCGACCAACATGGAAAAAACCCCGTCTCTACTAAAAATACAAAATTAGCCAGGCAAGGTGGCGCATGCCTGTAATCCCAGCTACTCGGGAGGCTGAGGCAGAGTTGCTTGAACCCAGGAGGCGGAAGTTGCGGCGGTGGTGAGCGGAGATTGTGCCATTGCACTGCAGCCTGGGCAACAAGAGCGAAACTCCGTCTCAAAAAAAAAAAAAAAAGAACATAGCATGCATAGTTAGGCTGAGGAGTGTAATGTGGCTGGAACATAGAAGTGTTAAGGGAGAAAGAGAGAAGAATGAGGCTAGAGTTTTGATGTTTTCCTATAAGAGAGAATTGAAGGATTTTAAACAGGGAATATCACGATCAGTATTACTGTTTAGGAAGATAAACTCTAGGCCTGATGGCATAAGGAGAAGCCAAGGAACCTTACAGTGTATGCCATGTACTGCTCCTTCTGAGGGAAGAATGCTCTAAGTAATTCTTTAAGAACAGGTCACCACTGTTTGTTATCACCACTCAAGCCACAACTTACAAGATCTGGAAATTAACTCCTGAGTGGAGATCACTATCTCCAGGCTGGCTGTAGTGCATAGGCAGCTATGCATTACAACAGTGTCCAGTGAGAACACTCCCTCTCAAATCACGATTCCTACAGTTGCTGCCCCTGTTCTATGACCGTGTAACGGCTGAGAAGTCTTCTTTACCTAGAAGACAATCCTACAATAAACAAATCCCTTTCCCCTGACATAACCTGAACATGACTTACAATCTGAAATGACTTAAATGACCAGAACTGGGAAAACAAAGGCTCAACTGGGACATCAGATGTAATTCAGGGGAGACATGATGGTGGCCTGAACTGAGGCCAGGAATGAGCACAGGAATGAGTGAGATTCAGAAACTAACAAAAGGGAATGTGGGTGACGCACACATTTTTAGTACAGGACACTCAAAAGCCAAAAACTGAGATATAGGCAACGGAAAAATTAGTCCTGGTTAGGAAAATAAGGACTTCGGTTTCCACACAGGGAACTTAGAACTTAAGATTCCTGCAGTAAACTCAAAGAGGTATGTCTAAAAACCAGTTGGACATACTTGTTTAGAAATATGTCTAAAAACCAGTTGAACATACTTGTTTGGAGCTCAGGAAAAAAGTGGGGTTAGAACAGACATGGGACATAAATATCCTACCACTGGTACTCCCTCAGGGGCAGATGCTTCAGAATAATCCATGAGACTTGCACATATATATACATATATATATACACACACACACACACACACACACACACACATATATATATGTAACTGGTCCCATGCCTGGAAATTCTGATTCAGTATTTCTCACCCAAATCTCATCTTAAATTGCACTCCCATAATTTCCACATGTTGTGGGACGGACCTGGTAGGTGATAATTTGAATCATGAAGGCGGTTTCCCCCACACTGTTCTCACAGTAGTGCATAAGTCTAGTGAGATCTGATGGTTTTGTCAAGGGGTTTCTGCTTTTGCATGTCTCTAATTTTCTCCTGCCGCCACCAGGTAAGAAGCGCCTTTTGCCTCCTGCCATGATTCTGGGGGCTCCCCAGCCACACGGAACTGTAAGTCCAATTAACCCTCTTTTTCTTCCCAGTCTTGGGTGTGTCTTTATCATCAGTGTGAAAACGGATTAATACACAGTGTATCCTAGTGAATTATATTTTTTAGCCTTCTTTTCATTAACAACAGTGTTTTCCATTCAAAAGCAAATGCACAGTTGTGAAATACAAGTCAAACCAGACAACGGACTGATTTTTTAGAGATTACAGACAAATGACAATCCAGGGATAAAATGTCTCACTCATCTACTTATTGTAATGTTCCCCAGTGGCAGGGTAGGTAATAATGAATTGTAACAGCATCTACCTATCTGAGAAACAAAGGTCAGTGTAAGCAAATGATTCTCGAAGCTTTTTAGTCTTCAACTCCTTGGGGATACTGCTGTCCTGCCTGTGTAACACAATACACCTTCGGGAACAGGGGGCGGGGCAGCTACGATTTGTTCTTTTTTTGTCAAGGGAAAACTTAACATTTCAGAAGAAAGGAGTACATGAGAAAGATTTAGGGAAGTAAAGGAGCTGAAGTCGCTTGGTTCACGAAGCAATAAGCACTGCTCGCTGCCCACAGCTGAGGCCTGCACTGCTTTCAGGTTTTTGTTTGTTTTTTTTTTTTACTTTTTTTTTTTTTTTTTATTATACTTTAAGTTCTAGGGTACATGTGCATAACGTGCAGGTTTGTTACATATGTATACTTGTGCCATGTTGGTGTGCTGCACCCATCAACTCGTCAGCACCCATCAACTCGTCATTTACATCAGGTATAACTCCCAATGCAATCCCTCCCCCCTCCCCCCTCCCCATGATAGGCCCCGGTGTGTGATGTTCCCCTTCCCGAGTCCAAGTGATCTCATTGTTCAGTTCCCACCTATGAGTGAGAACATGCGGTGTTTGGTTATCTGTTCTTGTGATAGTTTGCTAAGAATGATGGTTTCCAGCTGCATCCATGTCCCTACAAAGGACACAAACTCATCCTTTTTTATGGCTGCATAGTATTCCATGGTGTATATGTGCCACATTTTCTTAATCCAGTCTGTCACTGATGGACATTTGGGTTGATTCCAAGTCTTTGCTATTGTGAATAGTGCCGCAATAAACATACGTGTGCATGTGTCTTTATAGCAGCATGATTTATAATCCTTTGGGTATATACCCAGTAATGGGATGGCTGGGTCATATGGTACATCTAGTTCTAGATCCTTGAGGAATCGCCATACTGTTTTCCATAATGGTTGAACTAGTTTACAAGATGGATTAGAGACTTAAATGTCAGACCTAATACCATAAAAATCCTAGAGGAAAACCTAGGTAGTACCATTCAGGACATAGGCATGGGCAAAGACTTCATGTCTAAAACACCAAAAGCAACGGCAGCAAAAGCCAAAATTGACAAATGGGATCTCATTAAACTAAAGAGCTTCTGCACAGCAAAAGAAACTACCATCAGAGTGAGCAGGCAACCTACAGAATGGGAGAAAATTTTTGCAATCTACTCATCTGACAAAGGGCTAATATCCAGAACCTACAAAGAACTCAAACAAATTTACAAGAAAAAAACAAACAACCCCATCAAAAAAGTGGGCAAAGGATATGAACAGACATTTCTCAAAAGAAGGCATTCATACAGCCAACAGACACATGAAAAAATGCTCATCATCACTGGCCATCAGAGAAATGCAAATCAAAACCACAATGAGATACCATCTCACACCAGTTAGAATGGCGATCATTCAAAAGTCAGGAAACAACAGGTGCTGGAGAGGATGTGGAGAAATAGGAACACTTTTACACTGCTTTCAGTTTTTTAATGAGTCCCTCAGAGCAACCCTCAGTTTGTGAAACTGATATATTTTTCTATGTCATCTCCTTTCTTCATCTCTGAAGAAACCTCTAAGCCTTTTCAGTGTTTATACCTGTAGAGAATATACCAGCATGCATAAACTCCATAAGAGCAGAATAAATTTTGTCATATAGACCTGCCACGTTGCTAGCACTGAACATAAGTGCTTGCTACATAGCAGCCATTAATAAGCTGTTTGAAATTCCTTGAGGACAACTCTAAGTGATCTCTGAAACAGAAATAAATAGATGGTGTCTCACTATGTTACCCAGGCAGGTCTCAACCTCCTGGTCTCAAGCAATCCTCCCACCTCAGCCTCCCAAAGTGCTGGGATTACAAGCATGAACCACCATGCTCATCAAACAACTCTTGATCTCTTGATAGTAACACATGTTGATGCAGATCCATTAACAGAGGTTTTCCGAGCTATAAGATTCTATGTTCAAATTCCAGCTCTAGCAATAATTAGTTAGGTGACTCTAGCCAAAGGACTTAACTCCCTGAGCCTCAATTTCCTCACTAATAAAATAATTATCCCTACCTACTATTCAGCATATTATAAGGTTTAAGAACAGCGGACAATCTGGGCTCAGTAACTTTGCAGAAACTGAAAACGTCATTAGTCCCAAATTCAAATTTAGAGTTATTTTAATCGAATAACAGCAGCAACAAAATCAAACATTAGATTATTTGAATCGTTTCTATAGATTCAAATGAAATATTTATAAACTACTCATTAGAATGAGACAAACCCAATAAGGATAAAGATATTTTCCATGGTGATCATGTCTGTCAGTTCCTAGCAATCTTCCACTGACCCCTCCCTATTCTTTTCCGCATCAAATTTAAACTTATGGCTGAAAGCATTAAAATAATCTTAGGATGGCCGGGCACGGTGGCTCAAGCCTGTAATCCCAGCACTTTGGGAGGCCGAGACGGGCGGATCACAAGGTCAGGAGATCGAGGCCATCCTGGTGAATACAGCGAAACCCCGTCTCTACTAAAAAATACAAAAAACTAGCAGGGCAAGGTGGCGGGCGCCTGTACTCCCAGCTACTTGGGAGGCTGAGGCAGGAGAATGGCGTAAACCTGGGAGGCGGAGCTTGCAGTGAGCTGAGATCGGCCACTGCACTCCAGCCTGGGTGACAGCGAGACTCTCTCTCAAAAAAAAAAAAGAATAATAATAATAATAATAATAATAATTTTAGGATTACTGCCAGCTGTTTTGACTCCTTTTTCTCACCTATGCTGTAGGGCAAGCTGGAAAAGTTAAAATGCACGAACGCTTCTTGCTGTTTTTTTTTTTTTTTTTTGAGACAGAGTTTTGTTCTTGTTGCCCAGGCTGGAGTGCAATGGCGCGATCTCGGCTCACCGCAACCTCCGCCTCCCGGGTTCAAGTGATTCTCCTGCCTCAGCCTCCCGAGTAGCTGGGATTACAGGCATCTGCCACCACCCCGGCTAATTTTGTATTTTTAGTAGAGACGGGGTTTCTCCATGTTGGTCAGGCTGGTCTTGAACTCCCGACCTCAGGTGTTCCACCTGCCTCAGCCTCCCAAAGTGCTGGGATTACAGGCGTGAACCACCGCGCCCGGCAACTTCTTGCTATTTGAAAGTACTGCTGGGCCACCGATACTTCTTTCCCACCACTGGCCTTTATACGGTCCTTATCCTTCAAACTTCTCTGCACAGGTTGGAAGTGTTTATTAGCCCCTCCTTGAAACACTTTCCCTTCCCTAATTTGTGTGAAACTATACTCTCATGATTTTCAACCCTTTATTGAATCTTCCAATTTTTCCTCTGTCATCTTTGCCAATCTAATCCATTTCTAATCTCAGCTATAACTGCTCTTTGGATCCAATGTCTATATCCACCTCTGGCCTTTCAATCAAGTTCCAATCCCAGGATTCCAACTGGGTATTTTTTTTCCTTTTTTATTGTCCCTCAGTTTTATTAATTGACAAAAAATTATAATATACTTATGGTATAGAATGCAAAGTTTAGATATATGTATACTTTGTGAAGTGATTAAATCAAGCTCATTAACCTATCTGTCACCTCACATACTTGTCATTTTTGTGGTGAGAACATTTAAGATCTACTCTCCTAGCAATTTTCAAATACACAAAACATTATTAACTGTAGTCATCATGCTATTCAATAGATCTTCAGAACTTATCCATCCCGGCTAACTGAAACTGTACCCTGAGCAACATTTCCCCATTCCCCTCCCACAAGGTCAACTCTATCTCATTGATATCCAAAATCAATTACTTCCAACTGAACTCATCTTTCCTGAATTCTCCCCCCGTTCCCTTTTTGTATCAGTGGTACACCAATAATATGCCCTAAACATAACAGCCCACAAACTTAGCGATCATCTTAGATTTTCCCCACCCCTTCCTTGCCTTCCACTTGCTTAACTGGTTGTAAAATCAAGGATTATTTTTCTAACATTTTCTTTTTCATTCTACCACCACCCTACCCATTATTTATTGCTAAAATCATTACAATAACCTACTAATTGGTTTCCCAGACTCCAGTCTCTTGTCTCTAATCTTTCACAGCTATGAGATTAATCTTCCAAGAGTACAACTCTAAATCCTTAATTTCCAAAAATGCCCCACTGCCTATGAAACGAAGACCAAATTCTTTGACCCAGCACTCAAATCCTTCATAATCTGGCCCCAGTCACCTTACTAAACTTTTTCACCACTCTGCTAAGTACTTGCAAATCTCATACGTGCCTATGTTTTCCAGACTGGCTTTTTTTCCATGCTGTTCCCTACGCCTAGAAAGTTCTCCCTTCCCATCATATCTGAATGTCTAAATCCTTCTAAATTCAGTCTTCAAGGTTCAGCTCACATGTCTTCCCAACTTCCCCAGCCAAAAATAAAATGAAATAAATCTTCTCTAACCCATCCTAATTAGAAGTAATCTCTTCTCCCTCAGTGCACTCTGAATGTAACTTTCTTAGGTCCCTGTTCAACTTGTAATAAATTTATAATTATCTCTTTAATAGATTATGGACTCTTGGAGAGGACAGACTGTTAACCTCCAGTGCCTTACATTTACAACAAATAGTAACTATTTATGGAAAGAGCAAATGGAATTTTGTAGAGTAAGTCTAACCCCTTTTCCACATGACAGCTCTTCAAATCATTAAATCTTTCAATTATTATCAATAGCTATGTTAATTACTAATAATTAGTAATAATTATAACTTACATTAATCACTAATAATACAGTAAGATAGTAATAATAGCTACATTAATACTAACAATAATTAGCCACATTACCTCTCTTATAATAATAGCTAAGATTACATTAACTTTTTCTGAGGATCTTAATAGATTTCAGTTAACTAAGATTTCTGGGTCTCTTTTATCACCCACCCGAATCCTATAGAGTTGGTACTTTAGGAATCTAAGAGCAGGTCTTTATTTCTATTCCTATTAAAGTTCATCCTGTTACGGCCAGGTGTGGTGGCTTACGCTTGTAATCCCAGCACTTTGGGAGGCCAAGGCAGGTGGATCACTTGAGGTTAGAAGTTCGAGACCAGCCTGGCCAACATGCTGAAACCCCGTCTCTACTAAAAATACAAAATTAGCCGGGCATGGTGGTGCGCCTGTAATCCCAGTTACTCGGGAGGCTGAGGCGGGAGAATTGCTTGAACCTGGGAGGCTGAGGTTGTAGTGAGCCAAGATCGCACTACTGCACTCCAGCCTGGGCGACGGAGCAAAATTCTGTCTCAAAAAAAAAAAGCTCCATCTTAAAAAAAACCTCAAAAACAAAAAAGTTCATCCTGTTAGTCTCAGTTCCACTAGCCATCAATCAGCACTTTAACCACTCTTTTACAAATCTGATAAACATGGCTCACAGCAAGAATTCTCAACTCCTCAAGACACACACATGTGTTCCAGGCATCCTTCCCTGTCTAAGTGTGCACCCGTTGATGCATAAAGTCTACCAAGATTGTTGTTAATATACTTTAATCCAGGGCTTCCTTAAAGTCAGCATCTGTGGCAGAGAACAAACCCTTTTAGCTATTAAGTCAGAAAGTAAGCTCAGTAAAACTGGAGAATGACATTTTCAAATGCCATTACCCAAACTTTGTACCTTTAGTGACCATATGCTTATTTCATTTGAAGTATGCAAGCAACAGCTTTCAAAAGGGGTATCTAATTGAGATAACTTTATATTAAATCTGTACGAAGTCACACAACCTACCTTGTAAGGCCAAAGGAATAGCTTCAATCTGGATCTTGGTGGGTTTTGTCCATCCCAACTGGTCACAAGCTTCACACAACACATCTGTCACACCCTTAGAATTCAGAAAAATATACCTTAGCCAAGAACAGCACACCCCTACCTCCCTCCTACTTAACTGACTTTGTCAGAACCATCATGTACAACCAATATACTTGCTTTAAAAGGTATTTACTGTGCATCTCAGAGCCTACTCTTTATACCATGAGACAGTAGCTCAAGACTTAAAGAACACTTTCTGCTCAGCAAGGCCAAGGCCAAGTGCTTTACATGTAGCATCTCATTTAATCGTCACAACAATTCTGCGAGGTAAGTACTTATTACTTATTACTATCCCCAATTTACAGATGTGAAAAGAGAAACACAGAGATAACAACTTGTCTATAGTAAGAGACTGGGTCAAAATTCAAATCTGGTTGGTTTATCTGACTCCAAAACTCCAGCTATAAAGAGACCAATTCCCCATATGTACAACCTCCTGGACACATACAAACGTTGCCACACTAAAGTGGCGAATAGGGCAAATGGGGCTCTCAGGGCCCAGCAGCCCTCCCACCACCCAAACTCAGAGCACGTCGGAAACTCAGCCCTCTGAAATTCTGGGGAAAATCCAAGGTAGGCCCCGAGATACTTTTGTGCACTATCAGAGCGGGATCTAAGGTAACTGGGTCTGCCTGAGCCTAGCACCAGAGTACATAAAAGAAGCCAGCGTCATCCATTCTCACCAGGTCTTTAAATGTTTTAGTTTCCTCCTCTTCCATCACCGGCTGGGACGCTTCGGTCGGAGAATCGCGTTCCTCGGGCGCCGCCATCTTGTCTGAGGTCTCCGGAAGTGGGTCTGCGGCGCGCGGGATGCTGGGAAATGTAGTTTTAGTTCTCCCCGGACGGCTTGCTCTGGGCGCCCCCTGCGGGCTTGCCGGGGATTGCACCCGTCCGCTAGGCGGGTGGGGCCCAGTGAATATGGGCGCGTAGGCAGGCGGAATAGGTCCGATTGCAGAAGGGGCTGATCACCGGGGAATCTAGTTGACCTTTAGATCCCTTTTAAAGCGCCTTCCCTACGTATGTCGCCAGTTATGTTCCCCACTTTTCTAACCATAGAGTTTGGAACGGATTGATATCACAATGCCATTTTTTTATTATTACATTACCTTATTCGATAATGTTGAGAGCCTACCATATGCTAAGGCTGTGTTAGATGCCTAGTGAATAGGACAGCGATCCCGCCCTCGTGGAGAAAAAGGAGACAGAAAAAGGAGATAAGCTATCACAGATCATTTCAAATTGTGAAAAGTAGCTGGGTGTGCTCATGCTTGTAACCCCAGCACTTTGGGAGGCCGAGGCGGGCGGATCACTTGAGCCCAGGAGTTCGAGACCAGCCTGGGCAATATGGCAAAACCCTGTGTCTACAAAAAATAAAAAAATCAGTCGGGCATGCATGGTGGCATGCGCCTGTAATCCCAGCAACTCAGGGGGCTGAGGTTGTGGGATCACTTGACCCTGGAGGATGAGGCTGCAGTGAGCGGAGATGGTGCCACTGCACTCCAGCCTGGGCCACAGAGTGAAACTCTGTGTATGTAAAAACGACAGAGTAACCTGCGGAGGGTGGGTTGTGGGGATAACTGTGAGATTGGGAAGGCCTCTCTGAGACAGTGATATTTGAGTTAAGACCTTACTGTTGAGCAGGAGAAAACGTTTTAAGATCCCAGGAGATAATTATTCCAGAGTGAGAGAATTCCAATACCAAGACTGTGAAGCTCCTGAGGCTATTCTGGAAAGCAGCAAATTCAGAGCTGTATGTTGCATGCCCCAAGGCCAGCAATGCCCTCCCGTGGGTCTCACACTGGGTCTCACACTGCGCAGGGTGCTCATTGCAGTTTTATTCCTGAGGATGGGAAGTTGGAGGCAATCTGGTGTCCATCATTGGGAAAATGCATAGTTAAAATGTGAACATGGTGTCTACAAACATGCCCTTAACTATATGATGAGAATCTCAAAAACCTAGTGCTGAGTGAGAAAAGCATAAAATATATCAAGTATATTAAAATATAGGCCCACAGATATCACATTCTGCTAAAATACATCCAACAGAAGATACACTTGAAATATTTTAGAGTTATGGTTGCCAGCAGAGGGAGAAGAATTAGAATAAAATTGGGAATTGGGAATAAAAGAATTCAGTGTAAAAGATAATAGGCTGGCCACGGTGGCTCACACCTGTAATCCTAGCACTTTGGGAGGCCAAAGCGGGTGGATCACTTGAGGTCAGGAGTCCAAGACCAGCCTGGCCAACATGGTGAAATCCTGTCTCTACTAAAAATACAAAAATTAGCCGGGCGTGGTGGCAGGGGCCTGTAATCCCAGTTACTTGGGGGGCTGGGGCAGGAAAATTGCTTGAACCCGGGAGGTGGAGGTTGCAGTGAGCCAAGATCCTGCCATTGCACTCCAGCCTGGGTGACAGAGCAAGACTCCATCTCAGAAAAAAAAAAAGATAATAAATACGCAAAGCTAGAGAGGGGACTTGTGATGCCAATGTGCTTGACCTGAGAATTGTGATGAACCCAACTCGATGTCTCAATGTGCCTGCCAACCTTCCCACCACCACAACTACAAAAGGGCCCTGATTTAGGCATCAGGGCGGTGTCTGCAACAACAAAAAGGGTAGGATGCGGTCAGAGAAGTGGGCTTAGGTCAGACTCTGCAGGGCCCTGTTGTAAAGGGCCTGGGGTTTTGGATGTTATCCTAAATGCAGAAGGAAGCCACTGGGGGTATAGGGCAGGGAAGAGGCATAACCTACACATTGAAAATATTACTCTAACTCTACATGGAGCTAGGTTGTAGAAAGAGTGGGAAAAGGAGACCGTCTAAGACAGTGGTCCCCAACCTTTTTGGCACCAACGACTGGTTTCATGGAAGACATTTTTTGCACAGAATTGGGGCGGGGATGTTTTCAGGATGATTCAAGCACATTACATTTATTGTGCACTTTATTTCTATTATTATTACATTGTAATATATAATGAAATAATTATACAACTCGCCATAATGTGGAATCACTGAGAGCCCTGAGCTTGTCATCCTGCAGCTAGGTGGTTCCATCTGGGGGTAATGGGAGACAGTGACAGATCACCAGGCATTAGATTCTCATAAGAAACCTGCAACCTAGATCTCTTGCAACAGGGTTTGTGCTCCTAACAGAATCTAGTGCCGCAGCTGATTTAACAGGAGGCAGATCTCGGGTAGTAATCCTTGCTCACCTGCTACTCACCTCCTACTGTGCAACTTGGTTCCTAAAGGGCAATGGACTGGCACCAGTCCGTGGCCCAGAGGCTGGGGACCCCAATCTATGTTGGGAAAAGGGCGTGTGGGGTGCCTGCATAAACTGGCCATAAAAATATGGGACAATAAGTTGTGGAAAGTCACTAAAGGCCTCTGAGGGGGAAAGCCTTCTTATCGCCATTATGTTCCCGTGCTCTGAGCGCAACCTGCTTTCTTATCTATGAACACTGTGTTCAAGGAGAAAGACACTCCTTTGAAGCATTGAAATGGACAGACGTTCAGGCTCCTAGTTAAGCCCACTCCCACTAGCTACTTTTCGATAAGTTAAAAGTATGCTGTTTGAGCACAAAGGAGATTCATTTAAACCACTATTGCTATAGATTACGCCTATGACATACTGCCTCCCTTTCACTGTTTCGCCCTGAACATCTGCTTCTTAGATCTGTGACTGTCCTCAATAAATAGTGTGGAGACAAGAACTCTGGGCCTTTCGCAGCCTCCATTTTGCAGTTGGCCCCCTGGCCCCCACTCTTTATGCACTCTTAACCTATCTTTTCTCATTCCTTCGTCGCCACCGGACTTTGGGTACCCTACGGGTGGTGTTGAGGCTGGTCCCCAACAATCTAAGAGAGGAGGGATGCTCTTCATACCCCTGGCTGTAAGCACTGGGCCTGGCAAAAAGTGGATGCTCTGTAAATGCTGCTTGGCTGAAGTAAAACAGTAAAGTGTTGGGATCAGGAAGGACAGCAGACCAGAGAGGACTTCACTGTTTGTTTTTTAGGGAGTGAGGTTTTTCCATATTTAAGATTACATTCCTGGCCGGGCACGGTGGCTCACGCCTGTAATCCCAGCACTTTGGGATGCCAAAGCAGGTGGATCATTTGAGGTTAGGAGTTCAAGACCAGCCTAACCAACATGGTGAAATCTCGTCTCTACCAAAAATACAAAAATTAGCTGGGCATAATGGCAGGCGCCTATAATCCCAGCTACTTGGGAGGCTGAGGCAGGAGAATAACTTGAACCTGGGAGGCAGAGGTTGCAGTGAGCCAAGGTCGTGCCACTGAACACCAGCCTGGGTGACACAGCAAGACTCTGTCTAAAAATATATATATATATACACACACATATATAAAAGATTACACTCCTGCAGAATGGGCTGGGGCCTTTGGCCTTTTTACATTAGTTCACTCCAAGTTAAAGGAAAGGAGAGAAAATGCACACCGCATAAGACAACAGGTCACCCTGAAATTGGTTCTGTCGGGCAGTCACAGGCATACAATTATGCTAGCCCAGTCTAAGGCATTCCATCTCTCTATTTAGCCCTCCTCATGGCTACCTCCTCATTCTCCTATGACTTGGAATTGGGCCACTCTAGATGGTCTCCAAAGTGAATACATATGCTTTGGGATAAGGGGAAGTCAACTTCTCCCAAAGAGCGTCTACCCAGCTAAATTGGGCTCTTCCTCTTCCTCTTCTCTGTTACATAGACCTGCTGGGGAGTTTGTTCTCCTCTTTTGACAGAGAGGAACTCTAGTCCCAGGGAGTAAAGAGACACAAGAGTAAAGAAAGAGTAAAAATCACAAGAGACAAGACTAGAAGCCAAGCCTCTTAGACCAGGTGTGGTGGTTCACTCCTGTACTGCCAGCAATCTGGGAGGCTGAGGTGAGTGGATCACCTGAGGTCAAGAGTTCCAGACCAGCCTGGCCATCATGGTGAAACTCCATCTCTACTAAAAATACAGAAATTTGCCGGGTGTGGTGGTGTGCGCCTGTAATCCCAGCTACTCGGGAAGCTGAGGCAGGAGAATTGCTTGAACCTGGGAGGTGGAGGTTGCAGCAAGCCGAGATCATGCCACTGCACTCCAGCCTGGGAGACAGAGCAAGACTCCTTCTCAAAAAGAAAAAACAACAACAACAACAAAAAGCCAAGCCTCTTGAGACCAGACCAAAGCTTTTACCAAAGAGAACATCGTCTTACATAATCGAAAGCATCTTCCTTCTTCAAAAGCAGCCACACAGACTTCTCTGTAAAAACAAAGAGAGAAAGCAGCTGCAGTATTTATTTTGCTTCCCCTTGACTCATCCTCTGATTGCATTTAGGAGAGTGGAATGAAAAAGAAGAGCTGAGAGAAGGAGAGGATCCTAACTGGGGAGTGAGGGGAAGTAGAGATAAAAGCCTGAAAAGGGGACTCAGATGGAAATAACTGGAAGGTCTATAAATTTGTATATCATATACAATCTAAAGTTACGTGAGTTTTGTTCAAATGTATTACAGAAAAGAAAAAGGAATCACCCGTAAAATGTCTGGGGGTGGCTGCTGCTTTAAAGGGAACTGATTTAAGCCTTTCAACTGCAGTTATAACATAAAACCCTGTTGATTTTAGCCAAACAAATCTTTTCTGTTCTTTCTTGGATAATTCAGACACAGCGTGTTTTCAAAACTTCCTGTGGTGTCAGTGTCCTCAGGGTATCGAGGGCCATGAAGAGGATGTGGCATGCAGTGACAGCAGCATCAGCGCTGCTCGATTCTTTGGTCCGTTCCTGCCAGCAAGGTTTGGGCCTTGGAAGAGCACCCACCCCAGTGACCAGATTCATGTCAGACTGACAGGATGACCATAGGTGGGTTCCAAAGAGGAAAGCCTGCAGTAGCTGAGATGATTGTCTGCTTTTGACTATTCCTATCTGGTTGGAAGCAGTTTGGATATTTATATTCTGGGAATGGAAATAATAGAGGTCCATTCTAGTCACTGAGCCATGTCATATCCTGTACTTTCAGAACAATGAGAAAGGTTAAAGAGGAAATATAAATAAACACTCTAAATGATGAGGGAGGAAAAGCAAGCCTGAAACAATAC